AAATCAAGTAGGTCATGCAATGCAGTAGAATTTGACATGTGAGTGATTTGAATGTTTGGGACTTTCTTAGAACCAAAGAAACCTTCAAGATGGGATGTATCAGATAAAGAGAAGGAGAAAAAAGATTCTATCAGTGAATTCATTAGTCTTGCCAGATCAAAAGCTGATCTTCTGCAGAAGCCAGCAGTGCCAACAACAGAAGAAAGTGGAACAAAGGCAGCTGAAACACTTCCCAGCGAGGTGAGTTCTTAGTGGTGTTGGAATATAAAGGAGAATGACTGTAAACCTTGGAAATAATGTTGTGTACTGTATGAATTGGTTTAATAAAAATTAGTTTGCCAAAGGGCCAACTCAGGGTAAGGAAAAAGAAAGTGAGATTGCTTTTGGAAGAATTTTGAGGTTATAAATCTGAGATGTGAAACTTCCACAGTTTACAAGGATAGTAAGTATGGCTATATTTGAAGTAACAGCTTAGGGATAGATAAAATGTCACTCACAGTCTGGGAGTTAAGTTCAGTGCATCCACTTTGCTCACAGGCACAGGATATGTATGTGTCTTCTGCTTTGAGGAGGAGGATGCATACTTTGTAGAGACAGGTAATGTTTTTCTTTTTAATAAATTTACTCTGGTAAGTAAAGTTTGAAGTAATTAATTAGAATTTATAATAATTTGGAATCTGCTTTCAATTGTGCATGGAGCACAAATTTCAGTACTCTTTACAGGAAACTGAGCTTAGCAGTGCTCCAGTGGATTGAACTAAGAATTACTAAGATTGTAAACTTATGTGTTTGTGATGTCTTTGTTATTGTGATGAAGCTTATGTTATGTGATGTTTGATTGTTCAGTCAGTACATCCCAGCATATTTGAAATTATTATATTGCTTAACTAATCAGAGAGGGATTTTAATTTCTTCAGGTGTCTAAATGTGGTTTGTTACACTGCTTTGCAGGTAGATAATGAGAATAAGGATCAGGAACAGGAAGAAGAAAGCAGACCGTCCATGGACTTATTTAAGGCCATCTTTGTGAGTTCCTCAGATGAAAAATCTTCCTCTGAGGAGGAGAGTGATGAAGAACAGCAGCCTTCTACTTCAGTAGTAGATTCAGAAACCACTGGACAAGCTGGTCTGCTTGATAGTTCTTCATCTAACATACAAGGTAGTTCTTAATGCATGCCTATTTTTATAAGCATCTTGTAAAAGCTTCCTTTATGAATCAAGTACCTCTGGGACTGCTAGGACAGTGCTATATTCTGAACTAATTTGTAATTGTATAATAGGTCTATTTTGGTTAGAAAAAAGAAAAAGAAAAAAGAAAAGAAAACGCAAAGCAAACAAACAAAAACAAGTAGAGGCAATACGTGGAAATCATTCAGGATGTCAGCTATGCAGTTGGCCCAGGCAGTCCACGGAGATAAAGGATGCTGATCAGTTTGCTTTAACTTTCTCTGATAATTCTTGACAGAAGTATTTCCTTTCAAATAAATGAGTTTTTTGTTTTTTTCATAGACACTGTGACTGTTAAAGCTGAGCCTGGTGTTTCTTCATTGCCTTCTTCGAAGCAGGAACAGAATAATGCGGAGGAGTTTGGACCGAAGCTGCCTCCGTCTTTTTCTTCTGGTAGGTTCTGTAGACTTGTAGCGTATGAATTCTACACGTTAAAGAGAAATATCATACATACATCTTCAGTAAATGTTTGTGAAGCAGTGCCTTGCCTCTTAAGTGCCTGTGCTGTGTCAAATGTGTCCACACGCTTTGTTACCAAGCTGTGAGGGACTAGCAGGAATCTTTTTGCCTGCGCTTGCTTTGGTGTAGTTCCATAGAGGCAGGGTTTATGAACTGTAATGGAGATACAGGATGAGCATTACAATTTCCTTATTAACAGATTGAAAAGGTGTTTAGTTACAGTGGGAACATTGCAGTTTCACACCTGTTTGAAAGCTTTTTTAAAATTAGCATATTAAATTAATGTAGAATTTAAATATTAAAATGACCTGTTCATTATTGTTTGTATTTGTATTTTTTGTTTCTGCATTTGCTTTGTACTTTAGGCTCTACATGGCAACAAGAAACAGTGGTGCCAGCAATTTCTCCAGGGCCTAGCAGGAAAGAAAAACATAAAAAGAGCAGAGAGAAACACAAGACTAAGAGGGATCACAAGCATAAAAAGGAAAAGGTATTTAATTAAAATAATTGGTTTATTGGTTTTTGATCTACCAATCAAATTTTCTTGTGATTTATGCCATGCTGTAGAAAATGAATCAAATGTGTCTGAACTGGAACAACTGAGGTTTCTCGGATGATCTCAGACTAGAATTTGAAAACAGGACATTATTTAGCTAGGGTGCTGCTTTTCCCATTTGTACAATGTGAGTACAGACATTAAACATTATGTTTTATGCTGAAGATGTCAGGCATATTCTGAGAGCTGTGTATAATTCACAACTGCTATATAAACTACTAATCAGACACCTATTTTGATGAGGTTTAAGAGTTGGAAAGAGATGAGTAGTTTTGGCATTTATTTTTAATTTTTAGCTCAGGCTAGATAGTGCCAAAAAGCATTCACTGTTGAGCATTTCAATTGAATGTGGAGTCTACAGTGAAATTGACTTTTAGGGATGTTTGCTTTTTTGTTGTTTGTGCCTTTCAGAAGAAACCAGCTCTTTCAAAATGAAAATTGTAGAATGAATTGTTTTTCTTTTTACAGAAAAAGAAACACAGGAAACACAAAACCAAAGGAAAACACAAGAATAAAAAGTCAGAAAAGGACAGCAGCTCAGATACTACAGACAGTAGTGATAGCCTTAGTGATATAGATTCCACAAACCTGTCACCTAAAGAACTTCTGAGAAGGTAAATAGAAAGTTGACTGAAATACTTGTGAATTTTGCAGTATATAACTGAAACCTCATCATAGGAGTTTGCAGTTCAGTAAACTTATTCATAGCAAATATGGATCAGCAGATCTCTCTATGTTTATAAAGCCTGTTAGTTTGTTTAATGAAAGGAGGAAATGTTGCAAGTGTCTTAAGCCTCTAGAGATAAAAGGCTCTAAATACAGCTCTGTGCTAGTTAATGGGGTTTATGGTTACAGATGAATGATATTTTGAAGGAATTAAAAATTAAAGAAGTGCAGATGGTGAGTCATATTTCCGTGACTTTGTCTACAGTCTTTACTTGGAAATGTTGGAAGCAATGTTGTCTGCTCCAGAATGTTTTAAGTCAGCTTTATTTTGTTGGTAATCACCAAGAGACCAGATAGATTCACTGTATGGCTTTGATACTTGGGATGATTCTGCACTTCAGCAAGGAGCAGTGAAGCAAGGAGAATGATGCTTTTCATGTGTGTTTCTGCTAAATCTAAACTGTTGTTTATTTATATAAATAGAGAGTACAGAGAGAGAGACTTGAACACAGTGCTACCTGGGATGTAAAAATAAGAAAAAAACAGTTTGAAACTTTGTTCTGCTCCACACTTGAAATGCAATTAAAACTAACTGCATCGGGTTGAGATCATAGTCATCTTAAGCCTCTGTCATCTCATGTGGAACTGTCACTGCATTGGATTATGCTGAGCCTCCTATTAGCAGGCAGAGAGGTCTGAATGTGTTGGTTGAGGTATTGCATCCAGCTGTCCTGGCAAAATTACTGTCATCTAGCTGTTTTGTGGAGTGGAAATGTACCAACAGGAAAAGTCAGGATTCCTAAGGAGTCTGTCTTCCATTTTTTTTGAGCTGAGCTTCAATTATGTATTTGTCTTTTTGTATTAAAAAACAAGGTGGTATTTTTGATTATGTAGATAGCCAAAATGTGTTTGAGTGTATTTTACACAGAATAGTTTGACTTCATTGTACAAGCTGATAATTTGAAGTGTTTGTATTTGCTGAGCACTGAGATAAAGTGCTTCTATCCAAAGTCATTGATCTTTCTTAATTTAAGGTTTAACTTCTCAAGTAATTAAATATTCTTAATGATGTATATGACTATTTAGTTTATCCTCCTTTTCTTTCTTTCTTTTAGATTGAAACAACTGCAGTATTGAAGAGGCATCTTTCTTCATTGCTGTGTGTGGTTTTTAGATCTCAAATTTTTGATCTCCTCCATGATGGTAGATCAGTCTTGTATATATGCTTTGAAGCATTGTAGATAACGTATTCATATTGAATTTGTTTGAAAGTAAATGTTTATATGTTTATTTTGTGATGTTTCATATGTTTAAAATGTAATGATTATGGAATGTTGAAAAAGACCTCTTCTGTGTAACATAATGTTAAATACTGCAGGTTCTGTTTTAATTAATATGAAGCAAGATATTTTAATAAACCAAGTATTACAAATCATTTTTGTACAGCAAGTCATAACCTCAGACCTCTAAAACTTCAATCTCTCAAGAAGTATGGGAATGGCAGGAAGTTCTGGGGAGGTTTACATAAGGCATTAGGAAAAATTTATTTGCCACAAGGGTGGTCAGACACAGTCAGCACCTAGTGAGGTGGCTGGTTCCCTGTGTCTGCCAGTGTTTCAGAGACTGTGCCCTCAATAGTATGCCTTAAACTTTGGTTAGCCCTGAAGAGATCAGGTCTTTCGAAGGTCTTTTCCAACCGTTCTTTCTTCCCTTCACTCTGAAGGGCAAATGTTTGTCAGAATTAAGTTAGGGACTTAAAAACTGAAGTAATGTAAAATATGTATTGTGTGTGTTTTTTATTTCTTCTAACCTTTCGAATGCAGAAAGGTCGCATTTTCCCAGCATCTGGCTGTAACTGGAGTTGGAACATCTCCGAAGTACGTATAGCATTTGTCATAGCAGACCTAAACCAGTAAGCTGTCAGTTTTACAGAAATAAAGGCTGTATTAGCTTTAATACATTACTACTATAATTATAAACTGCATTATTCAGCTATTACATGTATTCACAATGAAAACACTGCTTTTATTTCATGCGGTACATTTAGAAAGTACAGCTTGCAGTATTAATGTAAGCTACGACCCAGCTGCAGCCTCTCAGCTCCCAGGTGCACAAGGACTCCAGAACAACCTTGTCTAAACTTACGGACCAAACCCTTCACTGAAATCCTCTATTGTAGGTAGTAGTTCTTTCGTGTCTTGACTTCAGGTGTTTCTTTAGGTATCTGCAGCTTTACAGCAGCTCTTGATTAGAGCGAGGCGATTAACCGTTGTGTGGTGAATTGCAGAATGCATGGTTTTTAAAATAAAGCCAACAAGAACACCTGTGGAGGGGAGAAAAAACATCTGAGGCGTTGAGGTTGCCTCCGCTGCAAGGAAGATATAAAACAGACCCTGCGTTGCACCAGCACAGCTGTGACAGAGCAAACCCACACTGTGCAGCCAGGCCTCAGGGCTGCGTTCCCGCCACTGCGCAGCCTGAGGCTGAGAGGGCAGCATGGCGGCGGGGGGCAGCCGTGGGGACCCCTTGGCCATAGAGCCACTGCCTGAGCCCCAGCCCGAGATGTCCCTGGCTGAGGGGCTCGGGGGGGACCAGGAGCAAATGGCAGAGGTGGGCTGGGAAGGGGAAGTTGGGGCTGTTGGGAGGAAGGGAGCGTTGGCAGAGTGCTGGTCAGGGCTTCTGAAAGCTCAGCACCAGTGCTTGGGGCAGCTGGGCTTTTTGGTGGCTTGGTTCACACAGGCTTGTGGTGGGCGCTCAGTGACTGAAGAAAGGCTTTCTGAGAGTGTTTCACACAACTCGTGGTGGTCGTGGCTAAACAGCACAGCCCTAAGGCCTTTGGCACTGCCTCTCCATTGGCCAGAATCACCGAAACACAGAAAGGTTTTTGAAAGACTTGAGAGAGACTTTTGAGATTTAAAAATAAATATTGCTTTGCTTGAGAGAAACTGGGGAAAATAAACAAAAGAAAACAACCCTGCCCTTTCTCTCCAGAAAATAAGAATCAAATCCACCGACCTTCTTTTCTCCACCAGGCGGTGACCATCTCGAGCAGCTGCAGCCCAGTGCCAGAGCAGGACTGACCTCTCCATACAGAGCTCTGCTGCTGCATCGTGCTCTGCTGCATAGAAGTGGCTGCCCCAAGGGTTGCCAGAAGAAGATTTCCTAAACTTTGCTCTGTTTGCTTACAGATTCAATTTAAAATTCTAAGAGGGCACGGTGATACTGTGAGTTCCTGCCATTTTTGCTGTGAAGACTCAAAAGTACTTTCGTGCTCTCATGACAGAACAGTGAAGCTCTGGGTATGTTGTGAACACAACAGCAAATTAAAAAAAAATCTGTTATGGTGATGTCTTAATATGATTTGACTACTGATAGGTGGAATATTTTGTAAAGAGTCTGAAGTTGCTTCCTCACAGAGGAAGATGGCAGAGTACAAATGAGCAAGGAGTGAAATGTTGGTCAGTGTGATGGATCTTGGCCTCTTTGCAGTATTAGTCTTCATCTGTATCACTGCAGTACACAGGAGCCCAACAATGGACCTCTGGTTGTTTTTGTACAAACAACAAAAAGTCCTGGCACCAGTGCCTGGAGCAGGCTGGTGTGGAGGCACGCTCTTGAAACACGAGGCAACACTTGGGTGGGCAGTACTGATGAGATTGGCTGTTCATGTTTTGAACACAACATTCACAATTGAATTTAGAATACACAGAAATAAGTTTTCATTTGTATTTCTAGATTAGATAAAACATGTAAGGCACACACGTAAGGCTAACATTATTTCACAAGCTTTATTTTGCTTTGGTTTTGTGGTGCTGTGTATTTTTTCACAAAAAAAGCACTTCCCAATCAAACTCTTCTGGATTTATTCAAGGATGTTGCCAAAGGATTTCCTGTTCAAATTTTTGAAGAACACACAGCCCCAGTTTCTGAATGCAACTTGAGTCCTGACGATAGAAGGTGACTATTTTCTATCACAATTTATTTAAAAAAGGAGACAATGTGATTTTTCAAGGTTAAATGTGATTGCACGTGGAAAACATCAGACAAATTTGGAACAGATCAGTTACTTCTTCAGTTGTTCCTATGGTTTTCTATGTCATCAAAGTGAAACTTCTTTTGCTTCATTTTCTGTTCATTATTCCTTTGTCTTTGTCTGGCAGCCTGTTCACTGCCAGACTCCTTCTTCTCCAGTTGATTTCCCCTACAGTTCGTGCAAGTCTTTTGGTTTTCATTTGGTGGCCACTGAAGGAATAGTCCAAGTCATGACCTTTGCAGGGCAAAAGAATTTGCTGCTTGTGAGTTATTTGTGGCTGGAAGTCTGTGGCTTGTGTTCTGAAAGGAGTGTGTAAACAGGTATTGCATAGAAGAGCAACATTGAAGCACAGGGGTTCATCTGTCAGTGAGATTTATATGGTCATAAAAGTTCTGTATTGTTTATTAATAATCTATATGCTTTCCATTAAGCCTGTAATGTCAATTTAAGAAGAAATGCATCTTACCTAGTGTCAATATCTGGCTATAATAATTAAAACAACTGCAGCGTGCACTAACATTTGATTGAGTAAGTCATATGTTGCCACCAGGGGTATTATTTCTGCTACATTTTATCATTAATTTGTAGTTTAAATCAATTTTTATCAAATTAAAGAGTTGTCTAATCTCCTTTTGACCATGGGATTGCATATGTGCCATTCTGCCTGCTGCCTCCCAACCAAAAATGTCACCAGTTCATTATCTTCTTGTTATCTCTTGTGCTAAGTGCTTCCATTTAGGAGCAGAGATCATGCAAGTGAAGGAAACATATGCATAATGAGAAGAATAGAAGGTTTGAGAATTTATTTTTAGTTTGCATGAAGCTTCCTGGGCAAAATTTGTGAAAGTGATCTTTTGTGAACTTGATCAAAAACTGAAAAAGCCACAATGGGACTAAAAACATTTGCCCTATACTGTGACGTTCCATATAAATGCTATTTTTTAGATATTTGGAAATATTCTAATAAAACAATGTGAAAGCAAACTTGGTGGTGACCTCCTCATTCATGGAAACCTGCCACTTGTCATCAGTTAGCTTTGTTGTGTAATGTGGGTTTGTGTTTGTGCAGAGCAGTGTCTGAAAATTGCATACGTGACATTTTTATTGTAGTTTATATCTGAAATATAAATAATTACATATTTTAAACTGCAAAAGGCAATTTTTGCTGCAGTGCTTACAAATCTTTTTTAGAGTAATGAGTGTGAGGATGTCAAATCATTGTCAGAATTAAAAGTTAGCATTTATTTTCAAATATCTTCTCTTGAGTGAGAACACTGAATGCTGTTTTCATGGTCATTTTTAGGATGGTGACATCATCCTATGATAACACTGTCAAGACCTGGGATATGGAAACAGGAAAAGTGCTTGTATGTATCCTTTTGAGCGCATCCTCAAGAAAGTGTAACTGTAAAATTCAGTTGCATTCCTTAGTTATTGACAAAGGACAAAAAAACCAAAAGCATTCTTTGCACAATGCACTACAGTCAGGGTAGGCAGGCTTGATTTTTAGTCTTGGTTTTAGTCTGATTAATTGTTTGATCACAGTAAGTCCCTTGATGATGAAGATGTCTCAGTTATTTCAGATAAAAATGGCTGTAATAGTAATAATCTGTCTCAGAGGATATGTTAGACTGATTGAATTAACATTTTAGGATTTGAACGGGGTATCCCTGTCTAATTTTAAACTTACTGCTATTTTAAAGATAGAATAGGATATAAATACTTCTATCACCTTTCGCTAAAATAAAGTAATACCAAACTCCTTTCTTCTGAGCCTACTTGGAGATTAAAGCAAGTGCTGTTAAAGACTCTTATCTCTAACCCTCAAGCGTGTTTCCAAAAGCCTTTCTTTTCTTTTTAGTGGACAATAGAACATGAAGGCATCGTAACTTCATGTAATATTTCCCACGATGGCAAATATGTGGTATCTGGCTCAGATAAAGGCAATGCCATATCTGTTTTTGATGCAGTAAGTGCAACAGAGGTGGTATGTGTCCAAGGTAAGATTTATGACTTTTAAATTTTGTTTATTCAGTTCTTGATTTCTTGTATTTCTTAATAATAACAATGAACTCAGTTCAGATGCCCTTCCTTCATAAATGTCTGTGTTTTGCAGATAGACTGGCACACAGCTGCTGTGGGTAGTTCTGCCTTTCAGACTTGTGCACTGAGATGGAGAGCTAATGATTCAAAGCTGGGAAGCAGCTTTGCAATAGTTCCTCTTGGTGTGTTTTCCATAGGTCATCACAGGAGTACAATCACAAGATGCTGTTTTGATCCTGATAATCAGAGGGTGACTTCAGTATCATACGATAAGACTATAAAGCTGTGGGATATGGTAGCTCGATCCACCTCCATTACAATTAAAGAGTAAGAAATAATACTGTCGTTAATTATGCGTGGTATTGTTTGCATCCTTGACAATTATCAGTGAGAGTTATGGTAAGATTTGTACTGGAGAAAATGAACTGTAATTGTTGAACTGAATTAAGTTATATGTGATATATGTGGAATGCATGAATGAAAATTTCCACTCAAGCTTCCCGCTGTAAATTATTGAAAAGTTGCGTTTTGTCAGCGTTTTTGTGCTAGTTTTTAGAGCTCCTAGGTTCTTTTAAATACACTGGAAGAAGCATATGCAATATAGTGCTGAAGTACAAACTTACTGGTGTAATTCCTACTAATTAGGAAGAATTTATAATCATTGACAAGTGAGAAGATAAAATATTACATAGAAAAAAAAAATGTCTTTAAAAATATTATATAGTGAAGGAGAAATAACACAACGGTTATTTTGAATTTTAATTATTTTTCCTGTATAATTGAGGGCCATCTTTGGCTTCCCTCTTTGGCTTCTTTTCATCTCTCATTATCTCATTATCTGTGTTGTTAATGGCAGAATGAATCAGGACTGGATCCAGGACAGATGCTCTGTACCCCAGCTCAGTATGTACTTATATTTTCACAGTGAACCAATTGTGGTCACTCTGAGTTCTGGTACAGGTTTTCCAGGTGATTTCTTGCTGCAAAAGTAATCCCTCCTATTTAATTCCATGGAAACTGTAACAAAAGAGCACAAGAACACTGGTTATTTAAAATTGTTATATATTTATGTATTTTAAAATAAATTTATCATTTTTCAGCTACAAGGTGCTATTTTGCAGCATAGGCACCATCATCAGATGTGCATTTTCACCAGCAATGAACAAGAGCCTGCACCAGTGGAGGTGACCCACTGTCACTGTTACCACTGCTGGGATGCACCATGCGCTGCATCACCATGCTCACACCCCCTGTTTGGTCTCCACTAATGTTCAGCAAGTGCCAGTGAGTGCCAATGGGTGCCATTTTTTCCACACGGAGGAATTCAATGACATGCCTCTGCTACATGTGCATTTCCATGTAAGATGCCATTGTGTCAGACTGTCCCTGTGCTGGCATCTGTCACACAGCAACAATATTGGTGGGAAGATTCCATCTCTATGATGGTGCCATACCACCAATCTCTACCACTGATGTTGTGGCTGACACCATAAAAGGCATTACTTTTGGACAGTGTCATGCCCAGTACCAGCAGCTGTGCTCCTAGTGAGCTCCTACAGCTTCCTGTGCTAAACCCTTACATCTCTCACTGAAATAAGCATTTGAAACATTTAACATTTAAAAATTAGGTCAATGTTGGGCATTGTTATCATTTTTAAGAATAAATTCTATGATAGATATCAAGTGAGCTGTTAAAATAGCAATAGCTTTTAATAAACTCAACAAATTTAGCTTTGAATTATAACAACAGTAAACAGAGAGTGCCTTTAAACAGTAATAAAATGGTCTGATGAGGAATTAGGAATTAGTTTGGATGGGAAATTCAATCTGGAGTATTGTAATAATATTTCTTTTAAATCACAGTGATGACAGCCTTGTTTCCTGTAAGAGAGGCTTGTGATCCCTCCCCTGGTGCAGACTGCAGGAAGCCCCAAAGTTCTCAACCCGTTCCAGAGCTTCTTCCAGATTCCTTTTATAGACTTTAATATAAATTGATTCATCTCTTTCCTCTGAGTATTAGAATGCAAATTCACATTTTTTGGACTTTTTTTGGTAACTTGCTTTTAAAGAAGTGTGGTTGTTCTGTAGCTGCAAAGCAATGTCATCACTCACTCACTGCTTGGGTCCATTCTGGCCAATGGCTCACTCTGCAAGGAGCCCAAACCCATGCAGGCTGCAGGGCTGTGAGCAGCTCCAGGGGCTTTACAGAACTATCCATACAGTTAACATTCAGAATGTGCTTATGATGCTCTACTGGATGGAGAGTGCTCAGTGCCACAGGAGGCTCTCTGAGAGTTTGATAATGCTTACAAAACCTCTGTTGGGGTGTTTTCATGTTTCAGGGGACACAGCAATGCTATCTCAGATTGTTGCTTTACATCTGATGGTCGATACTTATGCACAGCATCCTGGGACAGGAGCTTAAAAATATGGGATGTAAAGACAGGAGAATTTTGGAGTCGTGGACCTGTTACCTTGAACCAGGGACATGAGGGTTCTGTTAGTTCCTGTTGCTTTAGCCAAGATGGTGAGTTATCTTGATACCAGCACACGATGTATCTCAATATCTGTGTACGTGACATAGCAGGTGAGCCACAAGCGACCACTCCAATCGCGTAAGAAATTTGTCATTTCCAAGATAGCATATTTAATTACAAGAAAATGATCTCCATGTAAATTGAAGTTGATGACCACAGCCCCTCTACAGGCATGAAATTTGTATTATTGCAAACTGCCATTGTACTGGAACAGATTCTCTTCACTGGCATGGGCTGATATGAGTTTCTCTACATATTGGTCTAATTAGCTGTTCCCTTTTGCAGCTTCACTTCTTCACTACTATTACTATATTTACTATTGCTGTTTACTGTTACATTACTATTATGCCAAGTTATGCTTACTATTTATAAAATCAAGAACGTTAGCAACAAATAGCCAAAAGGAACTTCTAGCATCTGTCAAAGCATGACTAATAGCTCATTACTTACATGTTATTAACCAAGTCTGACACAGTGCTAGAAGGAGTCTCTTATTAGTCTGTGTGTCAAAGCAAATATACAGTAAATATTCTGATTTCATATTTCAGCATCACTTGTAGTGTCTGGTGGATATGACAACGCTATAACCATATGGGAAACAGATGCAGGATATAAGAAGTTAAGCTTAAAGGTACTGTGATTTTATTTTGTCAGTAGTTTAATGAGAAGCTGTAAAGTATGTGCTCCTTTAAAAGCATTGTATTTGTTGTTACACAGTATCCTTGCCCATCCTTTCCAGATACAGGCAGCAAAACATACTGAATTTGTGTGATGTAATTAGTTAGAACAATATATTCATACACAATCAGTCAGGAAGATACTACCTCTATCAGGTCAGTTATAAACATGAGACTCCATCTAACTATGGGATATGATTTTATGGCATACCTAAAACTGTTCATAACTTTGTGTGCCCATTTTGCAAATGTTATTTTCACAGAAGTCAGGCAATTATGTCAGAGTACAGATTTGCAACCTTGGTTCTTTTCCTGTCCTCTGCAAATCTGATTTCAGTGGACTTTTTTTTTTTTCTTTCTTTCTTTCTGAATTACTGCATGCAGTACTGAAGGTTTAGCTAAAACGTTCATGAAAAAGCCCACCTGGAATGTGTCAGAAAATGCAGCTTTCCTTCAAAGCCTTTTGAGCTTAAAAATAACTTTCCACTATCGTCTGCGTTCAAGATAGTATCTTTATTTGGGGGAGTTTATAAGCTTGTGCCTCATGCTGGTTACCTTACATGTAGGCTTATAAACCCTCCTGAATTGGAACTGTACAGGTTAAACCTTTTGAACAACAGCAGCACATGTTCTCCACTGGTGCTTTGCAAGATGCAATTACTGCAGATATCCCAGTTCACAGCAATCGCTGTAAGTAACTCAGTTTGCCATTAAACACAAAGGCATCTGTTTAAATGTTAATGTCTTTGTAGCTATGGAGAATTCCTGTTCCTTGCTCATGACTAAATTTAAAAACATTTTAAAGATTCTGCTGTAAAAAAACTACTTAAGTTTTATATATGCATATTTAGCTTTTTCTCTGTGCTTGGAAAATACACAATTGTTCATCTTTTATAATTAACTTATTGAATGTGGTGTTAATCATAAAAATGACACCATATCTGCTCAAACCTTAGGGATTTTATCTGTTGATTCCATATATGTTTATACAGCCTACATCACTGGAGTAAGCACGTCATTTTAGACTTCAACCTGCCTCTGTTCTTATGCCAGCTCAGTGTTGTTCACTGGAAATCAGCAGTGCTGCTGTTGTCAGAAGGAGGGTATCTGATACAGTGCTAGACCTGGCCTGTTTTCAGCATTGGGTTCCCTGCCTTTAAATTTGGGGAAGCTGCTGTCTGTTCCCAGAGCTCTTTCCTCTGTTACTGCATGCTAAGCAGCCTCTTTTTATTTATTTGTTTATTTATTTGCTTATTTATTGAAGTAATTAGTATTAGGAATCAGCTCTTTCTCCTTACAGTTCTTTAATAAGCTGTTTAAAAAGTAGAAAAGAAGTCTTTCAGTGTAGCTCACCTTCATGGTAACTGACAGATGCACTGCCCCTGGCTGCTGCTGCCGGTGGGCTGCATCCCACGGCTTGTAACAGCAACTGCTCTCAGGTACACGTGAGAAAACATGAGCTTTCTAGCAATGCCTTTTTCTGGCTGACCATGAAGAGTGTAGATAACAATTTTCCTTTTGCATTTCAAAATGAGTGCATAGTACAGACAGTAATTTTTATTATTAGAAAATTGACTATGTGCTTTTTTTTTTTTTTTTTTGGCTTAAAGTTAGATTTTGCTTTACTGTAGGGCCATTGGGACTGGGTGACAGACGTTGCAATTAGTGAAGACAAGAAGTGGATTCTTTCAGCCTCAAAGGTGATCACCACTTTCCTGATGCGATTTCAAGAGCTAAATTAGAAGTGGATGTGAAGATTTCATCCCTTCGTGTCAGGTTTTGTTTGACGACATTTGAAAATAATTCAATTGCTTACAAAACTTCTGTGTTCTAATCAGTATCTACATCAAGTAATTGTAGAAGATCTTAAAAATAATTTGATGACGATGTTTATTTTTCGTTATCTTAAAATGTCCATGCAGTTTTAAGATTGCTACAGGTTGTTTCCAAAGATATGCTTAAATGTGAGACAGGTGATTCTTAAAGGTGAGAGGGTTTAGCACTCTCCTGTTGAGAGACTTATCTGAAGAAATAGGAGCTCATCTTCTTGGAAATTATGTAAATCAGTGTTTTAGTGATACACAAGCATATAAAAATGATTGCTTTTGTTTCCCAGGATTCTACTTTGAGACTGTGGAATATTGAAAGGATGGATCGCATACCTTCAGTGATAGAAAGCAGAAAAGAAAAAGGCTCAAAAATTGCTCAGGTTATATTATTTTATTTTCTAACCACACTTCGTATTTTATTCAGAAACAAAACCTGAATTTTAAAGGAAAGCTTGAGTTTTGCTAGCTGAAAGCACTAATGGATTGTTCTTTCTTTGTGAAGATATGTACATCTTTTTGGGGGGAGTAGAATGTAGTAGTAATAATTCTCTTTTGAAAGTGTTTGTGATAAGGACACCAATTCATGTGCAAAGGTGCATCAAACAGTAAAATATGCCATTAACTTTTCTGTAAATATTTTCTATTGAATTTGAAATTAATGCTGTATAGAGTCTAATAGAAATGGAGTAAACTTCATGTGTGTGACTGAACTACCATTTTTATTGTATTTATACCAGTGTGAAGAATGTGAACGACCTTTCTTAAGCCTGCAGCATGCTGGCTTTGAAGTGATATCCAAGTGTGTATTCTGTCGTCTGTCTTCTCCAGCAAGAAGTATTTTGCCATTGCCACCTTCCATCCCTCCTGATCTTTAAATTCATATGACAGTCTTTGGATGTTAACATATGTAAGTATAAATGTAATGTCTGTACACCTTCATGTACTGCACATATAAAGCTGAGCATTTAATCTTGTTCTGCTACAGTGTTCTGTATCAAGAATGATAAACTACACTGCTAAGCAGGGTCTCTTGAGACAGGACAAGGGCAAATGGTTTCCAACTAAGAGAGGAGAGATTTAGACTGGATATAAGGAAGAAAGATTATGATAAGGGTAGTAAAGCACTAGAATAGTTTGCCCAGAGTGCTGGTGAATGCCACATCCCTGGATACACCCAGGCTCTGAGCATCCAATGGAGCTGTAGGTGTCCCTGGGCACTGCAGGGGAGTTGGACCAGATGGCCTTTAAGGGTCCATTCCAACTCAGACAATTCTGTGATTGTATGCTTCCCTTATGCCCTGAGCAGCTGTGCCTTGTCACCTAAAGACTGAAACTGCCCAGTAGTTGAAGTCTATATAGTATGGTACTAGAGAACAAACTTATTTACTTGCCTGTTGGTAAATTTTAAACAATTTTTAATGAATACAGTAGTTCCAAGCTCAGTTTATTAATGAATATGTGTGAATTATAAATTACTGTCAAGTTTCCTTCCATTTCTTAGATAAACAATTCTTCTTCACTATGGCACATACAGAATCTTTGCTTTCAGTGGACAAACAAAGGATACTTACAAAGAATTTTTTTAAGTAAAATGATGAACAAGTTCATGGTCAGATTCTCCCTCTTGCCTCTTGCTGCCATGCTGCTACAAACTACTGTGCAATAACTTCCAGCCATGAGAAGAAGCTGTAGTTCATGCCTTACACAATTCAGTACAAACTAGTTCTGTCTAATAAGGGTCCACCCAGCAAGGAGCACAGTATTCTTGGGAGCAACCTAGGGATTGCATCTATTTAGTGTATGTGCAAATATCAATTAATAAAATATTTAGTGTTTCAAAATGTCTGGAAGCCTTGTTCCTAAAAACAGTATTTTCAGACTTTTCAACATTTATTTCCAAGAGGTACTTAAAAGAGGGAGGATAGCTGAACCAGGAATCCAGTTCAACTCTGGTACAGAGGTACATTTTGGTTACCCGCGGTAGTGGGCTGGCGGTCAGGAGCCGGATCGATGTATTGGGCCCGCGAAGCACAAATCGCTATCGCCCGGCGCCGTGGCTTAGTTGGTTAAAGCGCCTGTCTAGTAAACAGGAGATCCTGGGTTCGAATCCCAGCGGTGCCTGCGCTGTAGACGCTCTTCTTTTGCGCGCGACCGTCGTTTTACCGCAGCTCGGAGCGCGGGAAGGGCGGGTGGGGCTGAGGGGGAGCGGGCTGCGCCACGGTTGTGTGCTGCGACGGGCAGCAGTGAGGAGAAAAGCGGCCGGTGTGTGAAATGACGTGCATGCGCGCAATGTCTTCTGTGTTTTTGCTTCGATGTGTGTTTGTTTGTGCACGCGGTATGTTTATGCACGCGATGTGTGTTTGTGCAGCCGGGCGTTGCTCCTGCTGTCCGGTTTCTCTGCCGGCTCACGGCAGCTGCCTGTGGCGCTCCAGGCAGCCAGCCCACCTGTGGGTCTGCTGGTTGGTCACCTGGATTCCTAAGGAATTGCAAAGAGGAATTTTTTCGTCACACAGAGCCGAGAGAATTCCTCTGTCAGATGTCTTTGCTTCCTGTCTCTAAATCTTTATGGGCTCACTCACTGTTCAGTTTTATTCCCATGCTCTGTGACCGCTGGCCAAGTGTCCAACATGAGGCATGTGCCACCCCTCTACCCAGGCCTCCCCACCTCTCCTCATTCCCTTTTTCAGTTTTGTTTTTGCCTTTTCTGAGGGCAGGCTGTGTGGAAGCCCCATGTTCTCCCTCAGGCCACCGCTGAGGCAGGAGTTGACAGAACTTTCTGAGACATCCTGGAAGTCAAAGGCCAACCCTCCCCATTGGGCAGGTGAATGAGGTTCAGTGCAGTCTTTCCAAATGTACAACAGAGGCAATCTGTCCTCACATCTGAGCTCAGGAGGCTCTAAACCTGTTAGTACAGCAAATCCCAGCCCAGCAGCTGTACCCTCAGGCAGGTTTTGGCCCACACGGAAGCTGATGGGAGTAAATGCAGTCACTGGCACATTTGGAGCACAGAGTTGTTGCTGGGATGGAGCTTCTGCTGCCCCAAGAGCAAAGTATGGGCCTAACATCTCGGATCAACGCCTGGCTTAACAGCTATCTGCAGGAGCCCTCCTTGGAGCAGTATTTGCTGTGCAGTCTGTCATAGTCACACTGATTCTGGGCTACTGACAAAATGAAGTTGAGTGTGCTGAGTATCATTTAGAGTATAATTATTTTCTTATGCAAATTGAAGACCAAAGGTACATCTAGCCCCATGGTTTTTCTGTAGCTGTGGCCAGCAGTGCATGTCTTAGGCAGAACATAAGCACAGGGCAAACGTGCAGTGATATTTTGCCAGAATGCTCTGCCAGCCTCCAGTGAATTCCAGCTGGGGGTCTTGAGCTCTCACATGCAGACGTGATCAAATTTAATTTTTCATTTCTCTGTGTCTGTGGGTAGGAAGAAGTGAAGTGACTGCTGCAGGCAGATGTGCATATTGGAGACATCTATATCATAGGGACAGTTGCCTAAAGAAGGGAAATATTAAAGGCAGTCAAATGTTTAGTGGCTGTTTATTGTAGCAGTGACTGTAGGCTTAAGGGAGCATATTTTTGCAGTTTGTCTGCAAGGGCTGACATTGCTGCCTGCACATTATTCACAAAGATTTGAGTGAAAAAGTTTGATGAAAACGTTGAGTGAAATCACATCGCCCGTTAACCCCAGTTTGCAAGACTGCCCTTTCCTATTCCCTGACATGCTGCTTTGCAAAGTGTTGTACTTTGACAGGCATGCACCGTGACAGTGTCATGCCTATATAATGTGATGTGATGCATGTGTCATGAAAGGATCTGCCAGAGTGTAAATCATCAGCTTTGAACTTTGGGGTCGGGGGGGAACTGTTTGGGATACTGCAGTCTGTGTAGTAGAAAGAAAATGACATTCTCCGGTTATTACTTTGTTGGGATTATTTTTTTTTCATTTACAACTAATTTGCAGAAATGACATGTGTTGTTTGTGGGACTGTTGTAAGGTTTTTCATTGTCAGCTCTTACAAGGTAAGCAGTGGCACTGAGTGTCCTATTGAGCAGGAAGAGGCTTGCCCCACACCACCCAGCACATCAGCTCCTCACCTGTATTCATTCTGCCATTGAGATTCACAGCTCAGACCTTTATAGAGGTGAAACTGGTCTGGAACCTTAGAAATGGATATCCCTCAGAGCATCACTTAAATGACAGAAACACAACAGAGGGCAGTAGTGCAATTTAGATTCTTGTCATTTAGGACTTGTGCTGTTGTTCCATTCTCCCAGCTTGTAATTATTAACAGCTGAATAGAAAAAAATATTTACATTTTTGAAAGCCTGTTTGTATTTCAGTTGGGTGTGAAAACCAAGGCTCTTCAGGGAAGGAGACAGGTTAGCTAGAAAATAGTAAGTTGTGTGCCCAACTCCTGCAAAATGGAGCAACAGGCTGCAATCCAGGGAAATGTCTTTATTCCTTATTGCAACAAGTCTTTTCTTTCCTTCAAGCAATTGTAGCTAGCCTAAGATCCTTAGAACCTAAAAAGTTAATATTAGTGAGGTAATCAAGAATTGATCTCGCTGACATCAATGGCACCACTCCCACTGACTGTGCTGCAGCAGATTTTCATTCAATAGAAGATAACAAAGAATCTGATTCATAATAAAGGGAGGAAAAGATGAGTCAAGCCAAGCTATGTGAGTAGAGTTTTTCTTGTGTTATTAACAGTGCACTGGCATCAAAACTACAAGGTCTGTCCTTATCTGCTGTAGTATTTGTGCTTTTTCTTTACTTACACGGGACTGAACACAGTCAACCTTCACGGGATTCCTGCCACAGTGTGTGCTGAGCTCTCATTATGGTCTGTGGAAACTATGGAGCACTGAGTTTTTCTGAAAATCTCTTGATAATATTTTAACACAGGTATTTGAGAACTCTCATCTGAATAACATTTGTTATGACACAACTATTGATTTGGTATTGTTTCTGGGTGACTTTTTAAACAAATGGTTTTTTTTATTATACATGCTATCTACTTAAAAACGCTGCTCTTTTTGTCCTATGAAAGCAAAATTTAATGGTTGAAGGTATGGTAATAGCAAATACAGCCTCTTGTACCTGTAATTTCATTTGATGCTTCTCCCTGAATAAACTTACTAGAACATCGTAGCCCAGGAACAATTAATTATAGTTTCTCTAATTATTGATTTGAGTGAATGTAGGTTTTTGTGAAAAAAAAAGGTCTTATATGAACTAATCAATTAATTTCTGGTTCTGACTTTTGACAAATTATATGACTATGTATCCTGCCTTCCTGTTAGAACATTTGCTGTCAGTAACAAAACAATCTCCAAACCACATTGAAGTCATTCTGTTTGGCCAGCCCTAAGAGGCTGTTTTTTTTAGTACTACACCTTCTTTTTGTTGTGCATTTTCCCCTTAATTAACATTTTAATTTGCATTTTCATGCAGAACAGAATTAATCACCAAAATAAACATGTTTTCCCCTTTGAAATGGGCTATGCTCTTCCACTGAGTGCTTCTCGTGGTCATTTGGTTTGTCTTTATATAATAGCTATGCTTTATCTTAATTGAGCAGCATACCCATAGCCCATTATTTCCATAACTTTTAAGCAGCCAAAATCCAACTTTTTACAGTGTTATCTATATTAGCTGCATTCTAAAATTATTGCTTTTTTCTCTTAATAGAATGTAATTTAAAGTGTAGGAACTGTGTGTCCTTAACCACAATAACTGCAAATGCATGTGTGATGAAGGCTGGGATTCTGCAGTCTGTACAGCTGCCATTATCACATGGCATCCTTTTCTTTAGGCTGAGGAAACGTATCCCAGGTATTTGTTGCAAATTCCTTTTGGCCGTGGCCAAAATCTGCCTCTGTTCTAGGATGGCGAGAGAGGGTGACCTTCTTTCCATGTTCTTTCCACAAGGCCAAGTGCTGTTCCTGCTGGCAGTCTGTCTGACTGCGCTCTGTGGGAACGTAACTGGGAAGATTAGGGGAGAATGAATGAATTAGTAACTGCAAAGGCAAACGTGGAATGAGCAGAGCCAAGAGCTACCATGAGTTGGCCCTTTAAACAGTGCTAGTAAGACCCATGCCATTATAACATGATGCAATGGTCCAGATTCAGGTCAGTAATAAAAATAAGAGAAGGATTTAGTCATTTGGTTTAATACCAGCTTGTTGAATCTCTGATTCAATCATTTCCAAATGATTTCACATAAATTGATTACATGGTTGCTGCTGGTTTCTGTATTTCAGCAACTTTGAACATGTGGCCCTCAGGAGAGCTTAAAAATAGATTTGGGGCTGTCTTGGCACCAGTGGCTTTAGGTCTGCCTGACACTGATCAGAGCTAATTTGCCTGCAGAGCCCTGGGCTGGTACTGTGCAATCTGAAATCTATCCAAGCCTTTGCTCTGTCTCTGTTCTTCCCTGTGAAGAACCTGAGGAAGAACATTCACTAATGGCTGCTGGAGTGACAGTGCTTTGAAGAAAACAGCATACGTTATTCAGTGAATGCAAGTATTTCGGAAATGAAATTACGTTGCGGTTATATTGAGAATCTGAATGCTTGCACGTCAAGATTTGTGTTTCACTAATGTTATTTGCATTACCTTTTTGTCCCCTGAACTCTGGGCATTACAGAATACCTATGGAGCCCTTCTGTACTGGAATGCACTGGGTAAATTGCCCGCAGATCCATCTAGAACTGTGCGGAGCTCAGTGTGAGTAATTGTAATTGTGTCCAACTGGGATTACTGTACTTTCAGAAAATCTATAGACATGAGATGAAATATTTAAAATCCCTCGCCAGTTAAATATTTGCCACGGGCCTCACTTTGGAGAAATGGGAAAGCTCTGTGATTCATACGTCCATGCTGTTGCAGTCGGTGGGCACTTCTTTGCCATTACGCTCAGTGAATGCAGGGTTGAGGAGAAATGAGCTAACACAGAGCACCCAAGTTCTTTGCAGTAGGGGAAACGAGAAGCACTGAATTCACAATTGCTGCACCTCCGGCTGAGTAAATGGATCGATGCCATATTGTGTAATGAAATAATGTTATTAAATACTGGCTCTTTGGATTAATATTTCTTTAGCATAACACCATTTGATGGGCATAAATAGTACCTTGTATAGTTGAGTAGAAGAACATTGCTTAATAAGATAAATAAACAATTATTGTAATTAATTTCACTTTTGACAATTGACAAGTTACTGTAAGAATAATATTATAAGTACATAGGTTTGTTTTCCTGACTTGCTTGGTATTTATAAGTGAGCTGCTATATTTTTTGCTGCACAACAGCATAGGCATGAATGCATACAATTTTTTTTGTTCATTTGTTCCAAGATGGTCTGTGAAAAATGATAGATTCCTAAAAGTTAATTACAGTGAGCTCCCAAATCAACTGGTTGGTTGAGTTACTAACTGAAAAATCAACACAACCTGTCTATAAATAATTCTGAAAAGCACAAATATAATATAAATGCACTGACAAATAAATACTAATTCTTTTATTGAAATACTTTTAAAACTGGTTTAATCTTCACAATGCCTCCCCAGATGCTGGCACAACAAGGAGTGTGTTGCCATGGGAAGAAGTGCTATAATGAGGAATATTTGAGCACTGATAGCTGTAAATGCATGTAATGCTGGATCTATAGGCAGTTTCTGTGCTATGTATATTGCGTTACCCTGCACATCTGTACAAAGATCAAAGGATATTTCTGTTATCTACTTTTGATTTAGAATTTCTGACTCTGCAGGTTCTGTCTACCTGTTTGACTGCTTTTTGTTGTGGTGAATTCATAAACGTGTGAAATATAAATATAGAGAGACCTCTTTACACACTTTTCTTTCATTGTTGCTTGTTGCAGCTGCTACTCTAGATACTGGTGAGTGTTTTTGTAAGTTGATCTATTGTACATTTTCCAATTTGATTTCCTTATTTTTCAATAATTTAGTTGGCTTATCAATCTGGCACCTTCGTCTCCCACTCGATTAAGGGAATAACCAGAATGATTTGACAGCCACGTAACTATCCTGGGAAGGGATGACATCTCTGGGCAGCAGTGCACGCAGCCATGCCACTGTTGCCCTCGAGGATAAATAAACAAATGTCAGCTCAGGGGAGCACCATTGATCCTGCATGTGGAGTTGATGAGTATGAAAGAGGATCTTGGATGACTACCTTCAGAAAAAGGGACTTACAAGGACCAGAATTTTCTTTTATTTTTCTTGACTTAATTTCTCAGTTTTTGACAAATATTTTACTTCTTCTGGCATCATATTTCCATATTATGTTGTACTGTAACAATGTATACAATTGTGTAGTCCAGATCCCAAATCATACGAAAGATTTATCGAATACCTCATGAAAGTTTTGTGAAAACCAATACCCTGTTCTCATAAAATAGTTTCAATCTCTAAATTGCCAGATATCTTTTTGGTTTTAATTCTCTCCAAGCACATTTGTAGACAATGTGCATATGAATTTATGGAACTGCTATCTTGTTTATTCTGCTGCTTTCTTACAATGTGGTTATTACACAATTGTTGCAATGATTTTTTCCTTCACATTCTTCAGCTCATTTACCACAAGCTCTTCTTTATTCTTGGTCAGAATGTACAACTGGCAGCCATAGCTGTGCTGTGCCTAATAAGTCACAGTTAAAAGCTATATTGGATTATTTGGTTCTTTTTATGCAAAAGAAAATCCGACTTCCCATGCTTTTATGCTTCATTGAAGAGTGAAGCAGCTTTGATTCTTCTGGAAATCTGACATTTAGTTTTGCTCCACAGTTTATTCCTATTCTCTGTTCTTTATTTTCTCAGCCCTTTCAGTAGTGTGGTCTGAATAAGCATGTTCATTTGTTGTCATGTTATTCATTTTTATATTAGTCATTATACAATGAGTTCACTTGCACACTTCAGACAGCTTTAATGTGTTTGAGGTTTTGTACGCAGCCTAATACTGAAAACTAGCCTAGGCAACAAGGAATAGAGATGAAATTGTCACACCTTCAGGGCAGGTACGATTTCCTATCTATATCTACCAACCCCCTATCCCTGACCACATGCTTTCAGTTTTTATTTGGAACACTGAGTGCTTATACTGTACTTCTTCTTGCTCCTGCAGCTAACGGTCATATCACGAAGGTGCCAGAGAGAAGCATTCATTGATTCACAGCAGCACAGCAAATATTCCAGAGCGTTTTCTATCACAGGAGCATACCTCATGACTTGTAGAAATCAACACGTCCTGCATCTCCTTAACTGTAAGTACTGGCACACAGTCTGCAGAATGATCTCACATTCACACCTAAGTATGTGCTGGTATTTCTGTCCCCTTAAGCTTTAAAGTTGCTTTTACTTTTAGCAAAATTAGCTGACAGGCTGTTGTTCTGATGAGCCAGTGTAGCCACATCCTCATATCCCTGTTAATATATTATATGTACTACAAATCTGGCTGTAATATCCCTGTGAAAAACTGAGAGAACTTTCTAGGTGAGTTCGTGCTTTCCTTAACATCCTTTCTCATTCTTTCTGTGGAACTGCCTCACTGATGCACAGCTCCAAATTTTGCTGTGTTACCCATCTATGCCTGTTAAGAAGAGCTTTGCAATCATTTGGGAAATAAGCTGTAATTTGCTCTTTTATGAACCCAAAAATCACTGTGCTATGAATATGTATTGAGAAGTTATAAACAAATGTGAAAGAACTGTTAGTAATAATGACTTTAGATGCTTCCAAGGACATGCTTGTAGTATAAAATCTTTAAGACTCTTTAAACTGTGTGGGGTGTTACAGTGAATAAGAAATGCTCTTTGTGCAGTGTGGGTCTAGAAGAACATTACACACAGAAACATGCCACTAGAACTGTAGAAAATATAACTGCAGTAGACAAATAAAGGAAAAGGAGCAATGAATCAGTGTTAGGTACAGTCCCTGGGAAAGCTAGAACACAAGTATGTTCCCTAAGATGAAGTTTAGCATCTAAGGAAGTATTTGGGTCAAGCTTCCATGAAAAAGAACAGCCACAGCAGTTATTTTTTAGGCGTCAGAAATACAAAGTACTTTTTAAAATACAAAACAGCAGACAACATTATTTAGTTATCAGTAAGGCATGAAGAATGTGGTTGTCCTTAGCTTGTTGCACTTTTCCTGCTGAGCTGGTAGTTGGATACAAGTAAAATGGCAATCTGTAGTAAGCATAGAGGGTAGCACGGAGCATTGCTCAGTTCAGCTGACAGTGAATTTGCTGCAGTGCTCAGAGGGCAGCTCAGTGATCTCCCCTGGCACTCACAGGTGGCGTGGTAGAGCACCAGCTCTTAGTCCTTGCTGCGCCTCTCCTCACGTGTCGGCCTGCTGAGCCTCGTGCTCGGTCTGATGGATACCAGTCTTGGATCTTTGCGCAAGTTTCGCAGTCACAGGGAGGGATGGAAGACAGCTCTAAATATTACCAGTGTTTCCAACCAACGGGTAGTGTTACACCACAGGGCACTTGCCAGGCTGGCAGTGGGAATGCTATAGGGGTTTGTGACGGGGAAGTTGCTCTGCAGCCTCATCTCCTGAGCTGTGTTGTTTTCAGCCCTTCTTCACCCAGTACAGAAGTCAGGCATCAAACTCATTTAAAGGTGCCTCTTCAGTTCTAATTTTGTTTTGCTTTTCCACATATGCTTTATTAGACATATGCCTGACTGCATGCAACACCTTTTTTAAATGTCTACTCTTTTTTTAAATCATTATTTAAATGAAACTGGGGACTGCACTGCTGGCAGTGCTGAGTAACCTGTGGAGTCATAATGGCTCTTTTCATCTACTCTGATAACAACATGCATACAAACCCAAGAAAGTATTTGTACTTTTGCTAGAAGGTGGTTATAATGCACATTCACTGTGTTCATCCCATGACTTAGAGATTTAATGTTTCTGATTCCAAGCTGTTTGATCTCCCACTTAAATTCTAAAATAAGTTTATGGTAACTTGTGCAGCCAGTGCATGTTTGGCTAAGAATGTGTTGATAGTTTGGGACACTGTGACATTTTCTTCTGTAGGAAGTAGATAAAATAAATATAACTTTAGGTTTGGCGGGGTTTTACATAGAAAATCATAAACCATGGCAAGGTTTTACTGATCCTACCATTTCCCTGAATTGTGAAGAGAAATCTGAAAACATTTGTACATCTGAAATGTGATTCAGCTGTATCTTGGCGTTGCTCTTTTATCATTTACAAGCAGAAGAAACTTGATTCTGAGTTATTTCAGCCCTCATCCACCAAAGATTTTGTACGTCAAGAATAGTAAATCCTTTAATGACTCTAGCTACCACAGAGTAAGCCCTATCACAACTACAGCATAAAAGGATTTATTATAAACTAAATTAAATTGTCCAAACTCTGTTCATCAATAGATATGAAAGAACAGCCAGAAGAAAGAAATCAATTTAGCATCTTAGTTGTTCATGTTCATGGATTTACCATTGGTGCGTAGTGCTTTTCCAGTACATGATAAGAACGAGCATCACCGCAGCCTGAATCAATCCATATGTAGTTATTAAATGGTAAGTCACCAAGGGGGGTAGGAGGTGTGGTGTTGAAACAGCCCTTTTCTGTGGAGTCATGAGTGAAATAAATTTGCAGGAACTGATGCTGCTAAGCTGCACAATGGCTGTGCAGTGGGACTGGGAAGCGGCTGAAGGATCCAGGAGCTGGGACTGCAGTGTGCTGCAGGCACCACCACATCTGGTTGGCAGGTGACAGCCTACTACCTTGTGAAACAATGGACATAATTGCTGGCATGAAGCAGTGCCATGAGATTACACATTTGAAACTGAATCATGATGAAAATATTTAAAGGCAAAAAGAAGAGAGAAATGAAACAGTGCTGCTTTTGGCCTGGCTTTCTCTATTGTTCAGAATGACATGCTGTGCAATGGAACTTATTTGTAAAGTGCAGTTTAACAATTTTGATAAACAACTCTGATAAGCTTCCTTAAGTTATTTCCACAAAGATTAGAAATGAAGACAATTCTGATCTTCTTCTGTAATTATTCTCTATGATTCAAAACTCTGATCTCAGTAACACCATTCAATAATCAGGAGTCCTAATTTATGCACTTAATGGAGCAGGTTATGTGGACCTTTCTGTTTTGTTAAGAGTTAAGTATAAAAAATGAAGATGCAATTAATGCTGCCTTGAAAATAGTTACAGAGGATGGCCCTTTCAAGAGAAAATTATTCTATTTTTCAAGCAATTACCCCAGTGTAATTGCTACTCGTATCAAGCAAACCAGATTATAATACAAGCTTTTATTGAACATCATAGCGCCACAAAGGAATATCACAACTTTGCATTTTCTTTGGAAAAACCTGTACATTGGAGACCTTATTATAGTATTTTTCCATCACATACCTGGATTCACTTTCCTGTCATACCAAGGTGCTTATATATATTCCTGTCACATTTAATAAAACAGATGTGAATTACAATGGTTCTCTTCAGCTCTTCATAGAATACATGCATAACAAATTCCTAAGGAAGAATAAGGAAAGCAGCTCCCTCTGAAGTTTAGTAATGATCTATGATAGATCAAGACAGGAGTAGTGTTAAGGTCAGTACAAAAGTACCCTTGAGAATTTTCTTCTTCCCTTTCAGGAAGAGTGTTGTTGTCACTAAATGTAAACCTTATTAAATCCAGCCAGAAAGCACTGTGTGGTGGTGCAATATGAACTCTTAAAGTAAAGCCAGCAGTAAACCATGTGAGATTGAAACAAATTATGTATGTCACTGAACTTAATATTTTCTAGCTGACTTTTCTTTAATGCGAGATTCAAAAGAGAACAGAGATGATGAAAACATACAGGATTTCAGGCTTGCTTATGTACACAACTCTGTACTTGCTGCCTCTCCTTTGAAACTGAGTTATGGTGGAGAAAAGATAAATACAACAAACTTGTGGAACAGGTAATACTGGGGTCATAGTTTAAAGAAATCTCAACCAAATTCATGTAATTCAAGAGTTGTTTATAAAAGAAGCGTAAATGTTTATGAACTACAAAAATCAGATGCAGATGGAAGTGACATGAAGTATGTAATAAAAGTGCATGTAGGTCAGTCTGGGACAGATTACTCACATGAACAGGATAAGATCTCAAGTTCCTTTGACTTTTTTAGTACTAATATCAATGAAATCCATAATCTTTAGTCAACACTGTTATATTGTTTTAGGATGTCTTCATCTTTACTACATATTTAAAAATATCCCTTGATTGTTTCTCCTAAAATGTTATCAGAACTTTGTTTTGGTGGTGTTAACAACATGATTTTTTATGATCCAATTCTGTTAAAAGCATTAAAATGGATGAACATGCCTATAGCTTCAGCACACATAATGTGTGACTTCTAGGAATGAAAGTTCTTTGCAGCCTCTTCCATATCACATGTTCTGACACTGTGAAGGCTTTCGGCTTGCTGTGGGTTAGCTTTGTGCAACTATTTAAGAGTAATTTTAAAATGTGATCTATAAATCATCCTGATTAAGTTCTAGTGATCGCATTTTCAAGGTGTTTGTGTGGGTGTTGTGGTGTGATTGTGAGTTCTGTGATAACAGTAGATATGGGAGCACAGGAATATGGCATTTCATGTGTACTTGTCTCATTGGTACATACATTTCTGTGAAAACAAATGTATGCGACTCAAAATTAGGACTCAGAATTTGAAATTAATCTTACACAAATGGCAAGAATAATTCCTAAACTGAGTGGATTTTACCTGAACAAGTTTCTGGCATGGATAAAAAAGAAGGTCCGTGTCACTTTGCTTTCAGTCTATGTAGCCTGCTGTTTCAGTGATCTGTGAGAATCTTATTGAAGGGAAATGAGCGATACGCTTTACTCATAATTACCATAAAAAGGGTTAATGTAGAATGTAGAGGTGACTAGATATGTTATTTTATTACAATAATAGACTTACTGAGGAAGAACTCTTTTATGGCACATTCCATTATTGCTGTTTCAAACCCATAATTTGAAGATTACTGCTCAGAAACCCAGACAGAAGTGATTTTACAATCATCAGCCCATTAAAGGTTTAAGAATTGTCTGGCTAGATTAGAAAGAACTTAGTTGTGGAAAATGTTGTGTGATTTATTATGCTCCTTAAAAAGTGCACGGCCACGTGCTGGTAGGGCTGGGTGAGCGGGCAGAAGGGCCACAGGTCCTCCCATGCTGCGTGCGGGGCCTCCTCACCTCCCAGCAAACCTGGTTTGCATTGATCTGCTTAATATTTCTGCATCTTTAGCATAGTAGGCGTATTTGTTTTAACATTCAGTTCTCTCATCCCAAGTAGACAAGACGTGGTACTATTGATCCTCGGGCCAGTCCTCCATTAGGCATCCATTAAGATCCAGAGTGATAGACAAATGTGAATTACAATTACAATAATTCCATCAAAGAGCTGCTGAGATAAAGCACAAGTCTGTAGCTCAGCGAGGATAAGGATCAGCCGAACCCCCGAGATATTGCTGCAGCCACACTTTATATTGCTGAAATAAAAAGGTCTAAAGCAATATCTCAGTGTGCCAAGAGACGTCCTTTGGTGAACTCTGGTGCTTTCAGGCATTAAGCCCTCAGCCCTCTCTTTCACCACTCTGCCAGAGTTCTTCACTATCAAATAAGAATCAGCAAAAGGGAACCTGAGTCCGTGCTTTGACTTTAATGCGCTCTCTGCAGCCAACGCGATGCGCTTCCCAGACTCCAGGATGGAGCTGTCACCACCAATGCCCTGAAGTAGTTTCTGTCTGGCCCAGTGATTTCCCATTCTCTGCCGCCTTCCTTCTTTTCCTTATCTGGTGTTTCCTTTCCCATTTTTTAATTTAGTCTTTTTCTTTCTTTCCCTGGCCAAAAATTTCTGCTGAGTGGATTAATTTTAAGCATGATACAGTGCCATGAGAGAAGCTCTGTGGAGCGGTTTTATTGTAGACAAGTTCAAAAGTATTTGTTTAACTGAGATATGTGTTTAAAATTGCACTCGTGAGCTTACGGGCAAATGAAAACCAGAGTTCCAATTAATAATTTTAAACTGTATGGCACACCAGGCAAATTAAATATGCTTTTCTCTCCTTCCACAACACCAGATGTTTAGGTTTGTGCAGCTGTTACCATAGGTGAGGCATGCACAGCAACAAATGCCTGAGATGTTCACTGAGAGCACAGCTACGTCCCAGTGTCCCGCTCCCTCTCACAGTGCCTGTTGCTTTTTGTGTTCCTCCTCAGCCTGCTGTGCTTCTGATACACCTGCTGCCATGGCCCATGATGCCTGCTGGGCAAGAGGCAGTCACGTACCTGCGTCGGTGCTGCTGTGACCCTACGGCTCCTGCACTGCCAGAGGCTCCTTCAGGCACCGCCAGTCCAGGTAGGCCTTAACGTTGAACGGGCAGCCCCTAAGGATGAGTTTCACTTAGAAACTGCATTCTTGTAGTGGGAAACTGAGTACAATAATGGATGTTATTGATTGGTCTGTGATGTTGTCCATACCGATCGGTATTTAATATTGATTGGAGAGTCTCTGCTGTAGACGGTATCCCCACAGACACATCTGCTGTCTCTTGTGTCATCCTTACATTCTGTAACTATGCCATTTTTTTAAAGCACGTAGGGAAATGTCACTGTGAGCACAGTGACCCTCCTGTAGGCCTTCACCTGGCAGGTGACAAGGTGCCTGGCGGCAGGGCCTTCATTGGAGCAGGGCAGGGATGGTGCTGCCTGCGAGGTGCAGACGCATGGCCGAGCCCTGAGGGAGAACCTCTTTGTGGAGCGAGGAGCTGTTAGTGAGGCACTTCGGGAATAAGGGGAGGGCAAGGAATGTTTCAGGTGGAGTTGGTACATTGCAGGAAGTTCTTCCATCTTTCCTTAGGTTTATCTCCTGAAGTTCCCGGCTCACTTTGTTCTATTGCTGCTCGGTGTAAACCTCTGCGGTGGCTTTGTCCCATGGCACTGTGCAGCGCTTAGCAGTGCCGCGCCGGGAGCAGCCCGCACTGTGACTGGGGGATGCCGCCGTCCCGCCGCGGGGAGCTGCGAGCACCGGCACGGAGACTCCGGGAGAGTTCCCCGGGCACGGCCGCTGCCGCCCCCCCGCCCCGTTTCAAAACCCTACCCCGTTTCCTTCGGGCGAACCGCGGCAGAGGCAAATCCGGCACCGCTCTCTTACGCCCCGGCTGCAGCCCCCAGCCCCATCCTCAGGGGGAGGTCGGCCGGGCACCGCGGGGCAGCTTCCCCCGGCAGGGGGGGTCGGAGGGCAAGGCGGCGCCGGACGCGGCCTCCCGCCACGGCCCGTGGGCTCCTCGCAGCCCGCCCGGCGGAGGGACGCCGCGGGGCCCGGGGTTCGCGATGGCCGCGCGGCGGAGCGGGCCGCGCCTGACAGGAAGCCGCCCGCCCGGCGCCGCGCGGGAGGGCCCGGCCCTCGCCTTCCCTTCCGCCGCGGGCTGCGCTCCGCCTGCCGGCGGCCCCCAGGTGTGCGCGGAGCGGGGCGGCGCTCCCTTCGTCCTCCGGCCCGAGCGCCGCAGCCGCGCGGCGGGGCCGTCACGTGGGGCGGCGGCGGTGGAGCAGCGGCGCTGCGCTCCGTTTTCCTCCACCTGCCCCGGAGCGGCGAGCGCGGGCCCGGCCATGGGGCTGCGGCGGGAGGCGGCTGCCCCGCCGCCGGCCGCCCGGGCTGCGGGGGCCGGCGGGCGGGCGTAGAAGCGAGCGCTTCCCCCCTTTGCCGAAGGGCAGGTGGCGGCGACCCGCCATGGAGAAGGCGGCGGCGGCGGCGGAGCTCCGGCAGGGCGCGCTGGTGCCGCTCACGGCCATCTGCCTGGGTGAGTGCCGGCGGCCGCTCCCCGCGGGGCACGTCCGGGCACGGAGCCGGGATGCGGGCACCTGCGGAGGCCTCCGCGGCACGGCGGGCTCGGGGCCGCGTTGCGGGCGCTTTGGGGGCAGCCGGGCCGGCGGGGCTGTGCGGGCTGAGCCGCGTTCCGTCCGGGTCGCGCGTCTCGCTCCTGGGTTGAGTCTAGTACGGTGACCCCATGCGGAGCTTTAAAAAAAGAAAGTTTGGACGGCAGCGATGCCCCTGCGGAGTTGAACCGCGACACCGCCCGTCGCCGCTGTGAGCGGCCGGGGGGGAACGCGTTCCCCGATGCTCCGCTCTCCTCCCGCTGCAGGTGCCGGGTTGTGGCGGCACGGAGGCGCGTCCTCTGCCGATAGCGGGCAGCCCTTTTTCTGGGGGAAGGCACTTTTCCTTGGGGCTTTGTGCTGCCCTGTGCCCGCAGCCGGCGGCCCGGCGGTTGGGGTTACCGGCCCTTGCCTGTCCCAGGGGCCTGTGCTGGGCTGATCCCAGCTCTTTCGAGGGCTCTGAGTGCTGTCTGATAAACGTACTGCCCACGGAACTGTGTGAAACCCTCTGCTGCTTGCTGATAAAGCGGGTTTGTGTTTGGTAATGCCGAGTGATAGGCAGCATCAGTTACATAAACTGTCAGAAGTGGCCATACTGCTTATTCTCTTTCTGTGGAAGTTTTTAATGTCAGCGCTTGCCCAGGAAAGTGTGGAAAGTTAAAGACTGCTCTGGTGACTAAAGACATCTCTGTGTTAACTATGAAATACAGTGCATAAAGCCCTGTAAGCTTCAGAACAGCTGAAACATCTCTGCCTGCTGCCGCTGCTGTATTGCAGAGACATAAAGGGCTGCCAGAAGTGTGTGCAGCATGAGGGCAGAGCCTGCTGGACTCTTGAGTCTAAAATATAAATTCCAGCCATTTGTTTTTCTTGGGGCCTGGTCAGAGCTTTGTGAAAACTTCTGTTATTTAATAAAAATAGCATAGTTGTTCTAAAAGTGACTAATACTATCATTGAAGATCATGTGAGTTCCAGAGTCCAAGCGAGAGCACTTTGTGTCCTTCTCTGGAGGTAGCATGAGGTCGGAAGTTTGGTAGATCTCTGCAGTGCTTTGTGCCTGTCCCTTGCACAGTAGTGAAAGTTAACAAGCAGGGGAGGGGGGAAGCTTATCACTTGTTGTGCAGTGAAGACCCCACAAGAGCACTGTGCTTTAGCTGTTATTGTGTGTTACTTCCTGCCTGCCTGGCCTTTCGGTCTATCGTTGCTTTCAGTTCCTGTTTCTCACTTCTCCAGTCCTTCTCCGCTTTTACTTTTTGTTCTCCTGGGGCTGTTTGTGGGGTTTGGTGTCTCTGTAGACACACTGCTGCCGCCTGTGGCTGTTTGACTTCAGCTGTGAGCC